ATACTAGCAAAGCAATGGGGGCACAGTGCTGGGTGGAATACAACTCAACACCCTAGTACAGGGCAAGTGTTTCCATAGCAACATCCCACAGTCAGCCAGTGCCTGCTGCACACAGCAAACACTCTGAAATGCAGTCTCCCAGGATTCATCTCTACCCCAAAAACACTCCATGTTAGATTCAAACTGAATTACACCCCTGCGCTGGAGTTTGAGGTTCTCTGTGATGTTTGACTTTAACATTAGCAGCAGCATCGTGGGTGAGTTTCATCCATAATCTAAGAGCTTTCACTTGCCGTCTCGGGCTCCAGGCCGTCCTGTACCCTCCATGCTCCTCATGCATTCCCTTCAGTGGAGAAAAAGAAAGAAAGAGAGAGAGAGCAGACATATAATTACAGTAGATACTGATCACAATTACAATAAACATATGGACAAGTATGTTTTAGAAGTATGACCAAATTTTAGTTTATAATATTTCAGCTTAGTGGTTTCCTAAATTATTATATAAATAATGAGCAAGAAAGCATCCAATGTTATTCCAGACTTAAAGGGATAGTTCACCCAAAAATGATAATTCTGTCATCATTTACTCACCCTCAAGTTGTTCCAAATATGTATGAATTTCGTTCTTCTGCTGAACACAAAAGAATATATTTTGAAGAATGTCAGTAACCAAACAGTTGATGAGCGCCATTGACTTCTATAGTATTTTTTTTTTCTCCAAACTATGGAAGTCAGTGGGCTACATTAACTGTTTGGTTACCGACATTCTTCAAAATATCTTCTTTTGTGTTTAAGACAGGTTTGGAACAACTTGAGGTTGAGTAAATGATGACAGAATTTTCATTTTTCTGAGAACTATCCCTTTAATAGTCTGCTATTACTACAATACTATTTCTTGTTTTCCGAATTCGTAAAGGTGAACTCAGTAAGTTCTTGTTTACATTTAGCTGGCTCTTATTCACCTCAATGGAGTGCAGCAGTGTCCGTTCACTTTTCAGCTGCTTTGGTTCTGAAAGTACTTTTCACATTCACTTATTCAAAAAACCTTGTTAAAATGTAACAAGTCATGAACCAAACCAACCAGCAACAAGGTGAATCAAAACATTACACACTTTGATATGTAGCAAAAAGTATTTGTAAATCGGACAAAAAGACAAAAGGTACAGAGTGTGTACTTAACGGCTTAAATGAGGGAAAGAACTAAAATCCAATGAAGCTTTGTGAATGACAATCGAAATAAAACTGATGGAGAAACATGGGGCATGGGAGAATAGGTGGGCACAAAATATATATTTTGGTGATTTTTTTGTTGTTGTTGCTTGTTTTGTTTTCTGATTGGTGGAGATCATGGGTAGTGTTACACCAGTAATTCTGCTGTTGAACACGATTTAAAAAAATAAGTTGAAATAATGCTGACAGTTTCAAAAAAAGAAAAACACATTGATTAAAAACCTTTTAGCTCACAGTAGGTCTATATTATAAGTTTATATTATAAGTTATCAACAAAAATCAATTCCTCTATAGAGAAAAAGAATAGGAATTTCCTTTCTGCATTCTATGCTACCAGTGGTTTTGGACTCTATACTGGCACATATAGGCCTGAATTCATCAAGTTGTTTTTTTGTAACCAACTGAAGCTACTCCACAATGAAGCTGTTTATCTGTTGTTTTGTTTGTTTTTTCTCAAACAGCATTTCACACTACACACATCCATTTAATGGACATTGGTACTTTTATTGTTTATGCTATGTAAAGTGCCTTGAGTAATAGATAAAAAAAGTTAACATTATAATTAAAAGTAGTAACTCATCAATAGCGTGACACCACAGGTCATGTGATGTCAACATGGTTGCACCCATGATTTGCCTGACCCGTTCATGTAGAATAGAATAGAATAGAATAGTAAAACAGATTTTTCTAGAAAATTGATACGTTTAGAGTAATATGATCATTTTTATTGAGATTTCTCAAAAGTGCTGTTCCTTTTTGTGTAGGCTAAAACTTTTGAATAATAATAAAAAATTAAAATAAACAATTACTGAGTGCACAGAGGAATCTAGTATAAACCAATGGGACCAGACTGGAGGGTGAGCCAAACTTTATAAATAATGTATATGACTATGGCGCTGACCGTGGAAGCGGATGCAATTTGTTGTTGAACGTTAAACCAGAATGTATACGTTTATTACGCTGAATTATTTTCATTGTTCATATTTACGCACAACGTGTGGTAACGTAATATAATAAAAACGGAGAACTTAACCCCGTGAATGCAGCACAAATGAAGCTGTGGCTCCAGCTGAACACACAATAGGCAGCGCTGCATTCGTTCGCCTTTGTGTGACAACAGTAACGCCTGTGTTTGGTTCTGAAATTGAACGGATACATACACAAACCCGTGCGTAATATACAGAATAAGGGCAGTTTCACACGCACGTCTACGCAGAAGTGACAAAAGAGCCTATAAACCTAAGAAATAGAGTATAGAATCAGATTTTGACAACACTATCTTCTTATCTTCCGGCCCATCCGCGGAGAAAACTACAAAGGCAGCGATGCTCCTGGATCTCTTACCGTCGCCTGCCTTTGTCAGCTGCTCCACGGGTTTGCTCTATTTGTGTTGGAAAAAAAATACAATTGAGCATACTTTTCCACCGGGAAAGTGATGTTTTCGTAGTTCAGAGTTTGTTATTGAATCGGCACTGGTGCAGTCCGGTAGATTGAGGTTTTAGTCTGTCAGTTTGCTGCTGCTGCTGCTGTGAGGAATTTTCCGTGTGTGTTATCAGAGAATAACACAAGATCTTACCCGTGATAGTGTCAACGGAAGAAACCGCCGAGAGAGCGTTCATTTGAGATACACTGCATTTGTTCGCCTCCCGGTGTCCCTCTTCCACTGTGTGTGGATCTGCAAGCTTTTCTTTGGCAAAACTCGTCGGTGCCCCATTGATGACGTCACGCCCTCCCCGTCCATCAGACGGTGATCCTGACACCTGCGCGCTTGTGCAGGACAAACACATCCCGTGCTTAAATTATGCTCTTGACTGGTCAATACTCAGGGCATCTGTTTTTGACATGAAAAGTGCTTCACTATACAGACACACTCATTGTTTTACAAAGTTAACTATAAAAATAGATTGTTTTTTTTGTGGTAATGACCTGTACACTGCATTTACACACACACACACACACACACAAGCTATATATAGCCTATATATATAATACAAATATTTGCATGCTGTATTATTGTTTAAAAAAAAAATCAGTCTATTCACACACACACACCCTTGTTATAAAATAACACGACACTGACGCCACCATTTCCAGAGAACGATCCAAATACTTTTTTGTCTGAGTCTGACTGACTGAGCAATGTTTCCATTCACTCTGATCAATGCTCGTCTTTTCTTTAATTTTTTTTACTAGATAAAGTGAACGGAGATGTCAATATTAGGTCTCCCAGAGCTTTGCTTCTCTGTTTTGTACTTGCACACACTCTCGCCCTCATTCTGTTTGTGGTTTCAACTCAAAGTTTATAAATGCCCAAAGATCAAGTACAGCAGTTCCTGGAAATAAAATGAGCACCTCGGTTCCGGCAGTGCTGAGATGCAGTATCTCTTTGGATTCCTCGGCAGGAGAGAAAGTGTTTGGCTGCCCTCCAAACGCTTCATCATGACTGAGGTCAGTTTACCGCACTGAGGAGTCAGTGGTGAAAGGAGGAAATAAGATAAATGAAGAGCTCGTCTACATTTCCTCTGTCCAAACACCATGCAGAGTCAGCTCGGGGAGTGTATAGACACAAATGTAGCAGCGTAAGATGATAACCAAAGCAGTGTGTTTTGTTTAGTTGCTTTCTAGACGCGTCAATTTTTGCATATGCTTATTATCATTGGTAATGTATAGCTGAATTATTCAGATGCTGTAATGAAGAGGAAAAACTCTCAATCGCCATACTTTGTCTAATTATTTCATCAGTAAAATGTTTAGCTTGCAGCGACCTCTAATGGATAAACTTACAAACGACCATAGAATCTGACACTCATAATGGCACGACTGAACCAAATTGTTTTTTTTTCTTCTTGTATTTTATTATTATTACTTTTAAAGCACTAAACTTAATGGGCCTTGTCTCGTTCTTTAGGGGGTTTCTCTAGTTAAAAACCGACAAAGCTGAATATGACTACATAGTGCAATGTATTCACCCAGAACATTTTATAGTATTAAAAACATTGAATTGTTTACATTCAAATTTACATTCTAGTGCCTGTACATTGTGTGTTATTAGCATCAAAAAGTGGGCCAACGGAGCATTCCTGATAATGACAGTTTACGGCTTATTTTCATGAGCAGTATCTTCACAACTGTGCCAGCACAGGACAGATAACTAGTCAACGCCTACAATTTATCTAAATTCACATGTGTATTTCCTCAGAAATGGTGTTGATAAGTCATTCGAGGACAATTATTAACATGCACTTTTGTAATCTTAATGTCAAAAATACACTCACCAGACCAATTTATTTCCATAATTTAATATTCTTTTTTTGAGCTAAATAATTTTAATAGATATAATATACATACACGACTATAAAGACTTAATTTGGAGAGCAGCACACAAAAAAAAAACACTGAGTATGACAATGTAGAAACTAAATCACACAGAAACGCATAAAATCCTTAAAAATGAAGTGCATCTATCAACTCAAAAGTTTGATCTAATTATACACACTTGGTGAAGTGCTGCTATAGTAACATTTACTAAAATATATATTTTTATATTAAATAATATTTTATAAACCTATTTGGCAGGAAAACAAACCATCAAAACTACTTCAAAATGTCACGTTTTTTCAAACCCTCTGTGATAATTTGATAATGTTCAGTGTTTTTTTTTTTTTTTTGGGCCACACACACCTCTGTGGTTCCTGTCAGCATATCTTGTTCAAACCAAAAGATATTAAAATTAACTTTTTTTTTTATACAGAAAGTTTAGAATACTGTCACATCTTCAAACATCTGTTCTTTATGGTGCCAGTGAGGCTGTGTGTAGCTGCACAGTATTGAGAAAATAGAGACTGTCCCAAGAGAGGGATTCAGATTTTACTATCACGCATACAGAGGCTGATAGTCATTCTTTTTGCTTCGGCAGGTGATGACACAAATGCTGAGCATCCCAAAAAACTGAAAAAGAGAGAGAAACACAAAACAAGTTGTTAAATTCATTGTCAGATAAACAAGTATAATGATGAGGCTAAACTGAACTGATGTACCTTTATGATGGCAAATCCCAGGATGACCAACATTGCATAACTAAGCACATCCTGAAGCACCTGCTCCAGTTTAGCTTCACATCCCTGTAGGAACAACAGAGTGTTTTCTCCCCGAAAAAAAATGGTTTAAAAACAATAACATATTTCAAGAACTGCTTGGAAATATGCTGATCTGAATACCAATATAGTTATTGTTAACTAAAACTATTAAAAGTTGTTATTGTTACTTAAGATGGAATGGACTAAAATAAACAAATATCAGATGAAACAATTTAAATGTGTCAAATTATAAATTGAAATAAGTTTGAGGTTGAAGTAATAAACTTGCTAAAACTGAAATAAATTTAAGTCTAAATAGAAATAAAAACAACTCAAACTTAATATATATGCGTGTGTGTGTGTGTATACAGTATATATATATATATATATATATATATATACACGTATATCAATAAATACTAAAATAGCATATAAATTCTAAAATAACACTGTTCACTGAAAACAATAATTGACCATGTCAAATGAAATGACATCCCGCTCAAACCTGTGTATTCAGAAGATCAAGTTGGGTGAGTTGACCTGCACATTGTGTATTGTTTGCTTTACAGCAGGAATGTGGCACAGAGTTGTTATGTTGGCCAAACCATGGTGTTGCAGTCCAGTCTGTGAAGTTATTCACCCCACAGCACTCCAACTGGAAATGTAAAAATGGAGTACAAAAAAAAAGATCAGGAGACTTCTTCATGCATCCATTTCCTGCCCAGTGCGTCTATCATTTCCTGTGCAACCAAAAATGATTGCAATGATATGAAGGAACCTTTTAGTCTTACTTGAGATTGCAAGTAATCCACTGCATGCGTTTCAGTGTTCAGACCGTCATACTTTTGGAAGACGTCTTTCATTGACTTTTCTAGGTCACCCTTAATCTGTAAACATCACGGGAAACAATTTCCAATTATGTAGATTTCTACATATCCCATTAAAAAAAAAAAAAAAATGTTATTCAGAAGTTATATGAGAATAACTTACTCTGCCCCTGTAGATGAAGCCAAACACAAAAGCGGTCACCTCGGCTGCAAAGATTATCATGATGATGATAAGAAACTAAATGGAAAAATTCAGAGAAAAGCATAAAATATTAAATCCCCCAAAATGGACACCATGATGAAACCAGTACTACCCAAAAGGCTTTAAAAAGGAATAGAAACCACCACATGGACCCTACTCTCTATTTTCGATCAAATAAACTGAACAAAGGTAGGCCTACACAGATGTATGGCTCATACTCACAAAGCCTAAACCGACTTTGGACTCCCTCAGAGTTGCACAGCAGCCAACGGTTCCGATGACAAACATGACCACAGCCACACCGATTATAATGGCTGCTGGGATGATGCTGTACTTATCAGACACAAAGTCTTCAAAGCTGTTGTAGCTCTTTATCACATAAGAACCAACATATGCAAGGGCCACTCCAGCACCCTGAAAAAGAACGACACAAGAGGTGAGTCGATGACATCAAACTTCACAGTAATGTCTGTGGTGGGACTCACCCCAACATTATTTCATGATATTTACTAAAAAATATATAACTTGATTAAAAACAATACTGATATACAGACATGTACACTCACATGCATTCAAAGTGTAAGGCACTCATGACATTTTAGAGCAGTGGTTCTCAACCAGGGGGTCGCAGCAAACTTCCATGACTATTTCATGACCAAGCATTTAAATGATTATTGATATATTAATATAATCAAATAAAAATCTAAATAAAAATGCTAACACACACACACAAATTTAACTGAAATCCCGGTTGATCTCTCAATACTAAATTACCATTAAATTTAAACATATGTTGAAAATGGTAAAAGATAAAAGGCACATTTCCCCCCCTTTTATCTTGGACACTTGTCATTTACCCAGTAACGGTCCTGAATTTACACAGTTCAGTTCCATAAGAACACATACATCATCTCTCTCACATGATGTCATAAGGTGTCATTTCATAACAAGTAAACTTTGGGTTATGTATGACTCGCTAGCACATGATCGGTTTCTTCAGCAGTCAGTCACGAGACCATGAGTAACCTTTTCCTGCCCCCTAATCTTTCCTGGAATGCTGGTCTTGTGCCTCAGCTTCAGCAGAAGCGGCAAAAGCAAAACAGAAAACCCTTGAGGTAGAAAAGTACACATGACAACAGCAATACATCAGCTTTTCAGAAGACAAAGATGCTACAATGAGAACTTTCAGTTCTCAGTTTTTAAGGTTTCAGGTTTTACTTCTTGCACTGTTGTTTTTGGGGAAAAAATAAATAAATAAATAAATTGCACATGCAGACAGGGCTGGAAAGGATGGGAACCACAGGGCCCCGGAGGGTCTCAGCCCTAAAACGTTTGTCTTGGTTTCTGCTAATTTTAGCAACATCTCTCTGAGCATGAAAGTATTCAATTATCTGTGCAGAAGAGTAAGAAGTGTTGGTTTCCTACAGAACTCCCCTTCGTGCCCACTGAAGCCAGAAAAGGGCACATGACATTAAGCCCAGGCAGATGACTAGGCCGACATGATGGCACAGACAATATGGGTATGAAAATCATTATTTTCATTGAAATCAAGTTAGAAGCTCTGACAGTTACATGAACTCTGAAATAAACAAGTGCTTACGTTTAAAGGCAGCATAGCAAAAGGCACTGAAGACCTTTCATATGGTTGTTTTAAGTCTATAAACAAAGAGCAAACAAATGACTCAACCCAAATTAAATTACATTCTAGACAACAGCTCGCTGTCAAAAGCAAATAACTTTGACTAAACGTTTAGGTCTGGAGGAGGAGAAACAACCTCTGGAATGAATACAAACTATTGTGATGCTTATAATTGGACCCTTCTTCCTACAAATAGTTATCAAACAACTGCAAAACCCACATGGTCAGCTTAGGTTTGTAAACCTGTAAACTTATATTAAAAAGAACATCACAAACTCACCCAAAATATTAAACTGAGAAGCAAAAGAACGCTTTTGGATGTTATCATTCCGCAATCCATGTCTGCTGCTGAGTGATGAGTCGAAGCTGGGAATGTTGCGGATAGTTTGTGGCGTTCTTCTTTTTCTTTTTTGAGTTTGTGACGTAATCTTTCCTCGTGTTCTTTATAGTTCAGTCAGTCACATGCTCTCTCTCATGCGTCAACAATGGAAACCCCCAGGTCCTAAACACCGTATATCAAAAAAAGGAAAAAAAAAAAAGGAAAAAAGAAAAAAGAATACCGGAAAACTTTCTGGTTCACAGTTCATGACGGAAATGCGTGAGGCAGGTCACGTGACCAGAGAAGATGCAGAGAATGGCAATGTGGCACAGTATTAGTGATGGTTGACTGATAAAATCTGTTTACGTAGGCCTACAGCCTTTAAGTTTTTTTTTGTTTTTTTTTTAATGATTCAACACCCGTTTAAATGTAAATATTTCAAGACAAATTGTTTAAAGTAGTATAACGTCTTTATGATAATGACAGACTGATGGCATTGCATTTCACATGATTTTTTAGTTGAATTGGGACAGATGCACATCATCAGCTAAACACATTGAACAATGAAGTTCGATGGAAATATATTTGCTTTAGTTGAAATACTACACAAACTACATCCATATATCATTTACTTGTAGGAAAAATAACAACATTTTTAAATTAAATTAGGTCTTGTTGGAAATCATGTTGAGTTGGTCAGCAACATAGCTGATTTGTCAGTGGCACAATGTGGCTTAGCTTTAACTTGTTTATCAAGCTTGTTTATTACCCATCAGCTTTGAAAGTTCAGATTGGATGACATAGTTTATATAAATTTGGTGCCAGGTGGCCTAGGTATTTGAAATTTCTATATATTTCAATACCTTAAAGTTAGGGTAGGCAATTTTTTTTTTATAAACCCTATACTGGTTGAAACTCTCTTCACATCCTGATAGACTGCCATAATAGAAGTGGTCTAAAAATAAAAACATGTACTGTATATATATTTTCTGTGGAAGTCTAATGACCCATGAGTCTCGCCTCTCTCCGCCCGTGGATCGCATTCTTGTCAGAGAGCGGCCCCTCGCGCTCTTCCGTTCTCTTCCTCCCAGGAACCACTGAGGAAGATACAGGGAGCCAGAGGGTTGAGCTGACGGGTACTAGTGAACTGCCTGAAACGCTTCACATCCCGCGTGCCCAGATCCCAAAAGACGCAGAAAAGGCTGCCTTCCTCGACTCCCCAGTCTCACCTAACCGATCTATTTTGGCCCTGCAGTGGATCACAAAGAAAATTGTTGTCCTTAAAGGTTGGATTTTTCCTCCTTTTTTAATTAAGGCATTAAGATACATTTCCAAAAGATGATTTTGTATTCCTCTTTTTAGTCAACTTTAGCATGGGTGTGTTCACTAATGCTAAGCACTACATGAAGCTATTTAAGAAAAATATGTTATTAGGCTACTTTCTAGGCCTGGTTACATTACCTACAATTTAGAGCACTGGGTTTCAAACAGAAAACTTCTAAGGGGGCTGCAGGATGAATTAAAGGTATTTAAATTAATAAATCATTATTATTGATATTAAAATTTATCTAGCTCAATTCTAAATTAAAATGCTAAAAACACATAAAATCAAGATGTAAACTAAATCATATAACTATTGTTTTTGAAGAATACAACATGCTCACAAAGTCAGCATGTTTGATTTAAAAGCAAAATAATCTATATATATGTAAACCTTTAAACACTGCCAGAGAATTAAACCTTTGAAACAAGCAAAACAACAAAAAAGGTCCTATTAGGTCATTTATCTAACAACTGACATGGCATTAAAGATAAGGTTTCAGCGTCTAGGAGACACCCTTCTGGTGTAACTCCAGAAGATCAAACTAAGAATGTAAATGCTTTTATGAATTAAACTAAAGTTTATTTTAGCACTGTAAAGCTATCAGCCAAATAAGCACAATGGACAAGTGAATGACACAATTAGATCTCAAACCATATCCCACCTGACAGATTTGTAGGTTTTGGCTACTAAATAAAATAAAATAAAAATAATAAAAAGATTCGATCAGTATTTTTGCATTATTAATTAAATGTATTCAATGTGTCATTGTTTTTGTAGGGCCATAATGTATAACTGACTAAAACTGACAGAAAAAGAAAATGTGTTTTAGTGGACTAAAAAATATATTATTTGTTCAAAAACTCAGCAAAATATTCGCTTTATTAATTCATGAACACATTACATATGGCCCACTCTCACTGAACAATGGCACATAATAAGTAAACAATGTTTTTAAACAATGTAATTAAACAAAGTCCAGAAATTGCTCAGTCGTAAAACGGTACAGCACATCGATTCTTCACATTTGCGAATAAAAAACGAATTATTACTTTATTGTTTGGATGCTATGTACAAGTTAAATGTCCTTGTGGAACGTCTTGATTTTCTGATAGACAATCCAGGTCGTTATATTATTTTTAAAAGTAAAAATCATACTCTTTCTATTAGTCGGAAAACACAAATTATTGCGGCTCATAAAAAGGCGCTGAAATCATAACTATAGAGTCTACACGGTTCTCATGTTGACTATTTTACTTGCACGCACCCGCCCTTCAACTCACTCTCATCAGACATCTTCTTCCAGCTGATGTTCCAGCTCAAATAAACTGTCAGTCATGTCAGCTGCCACAGCAGCCTCATCTGCTACTAAAACGCCAAAAAGAAGGTCCAAGGCCAAGAAGTCAGGACTCAGTGTGTCTGATTTTATCCTCAAGGTCTTGTCATCTTCAGAGGAGCGTGGTGGTGGTGTCTCTCTGGTCGCTCTGAAGAAAGCGCTGCCCAGCAAACAATATTACGTTGTGACGACGTCACATGCTGGTCATTTTTAGTCACGCTTACGTTAGCATATGACGTCGCCACAACCGCCAAAGTGAAACACCAAAAGAGGTCGCTACGACGTCGCCAACCGACAACGTGACAACGTCTTCAGTACGTCTTCAGTACGTTATGTTAAACGTTATTTAATTTTGGTCGCCGATTCGTCTTTTGGATGACGTTGCTGCGACGTAGCCAGTACGTTGCGGCAGCGTTATTGGTCGCCAATTGGTCATTTGATGACTTTTTCATATATATATATATATATATATATTCATTCTGCAGTGGATTTATTGACATCCATTTATACTAGCATTTACCTGCCACAGCAACATCTATAATTGTGGTTCTTGTTCAGAACTTTTTGTTTGTTGGTTGTTTCAACTAGCATTACTGTTCAAATCGACATTTTACTCAAACAATTGGTAAAAACATGTTTAAACATTCACTAATGTTAATGTTAAACATGTTAAAAAACATTGTAGAATAATTGAAAGAACTGAAAAGTGTTTTTGCAGATTTTATTTAACAGAATTTAACAGACACTAAAATAACAAATGGGGAAAAAACAACTATACATTAAAGCAAAAAAGGAAAAAAATAAATGTCACTATTTAAAACACTTTAAAAAGGTCTTCATCTGAATTGCTGGTTATTGTCCTAATGTGGGACTGCCACTTCTGGGACTGGCTGCACCTAGACAAACAATTTAAATAAATTAAGTGAACAGACCTTCAAGATTTAATGTCAAGATTTTGTATCGGTACACTGTAAGTATCGGCAAGTGCAAAAAATGAAATACTAAGTACTGCTACTCATTCCATAAAGTGGTATCGGCCCATCCCTACAAGTAATAGTCGATTGCCACAGTCTTTTAAGTGAAATGCTCACAAGAAGTGTATATTTGTACCTGTAGTTTACTGTGGGCTGGGGCATGTTTTAAAACATTTGTGACGAGTTCCTCCACAGCTTTGTCCTGTAGTCCGGACCGACTCAGCATGATAGCCCCTGTTGTGTAGAATAAAAAAATTTGTAAATGTTTTGTAAATTTCTTGTGTAATTACAATGTTTTACAAAACAAGTGGTGGACACATTTAATATATATTAAATGAAGCAGAAGGGCATTTTGATATTGTCTTTTAGATTTGAAAACAGCAAGCTATATTTTGAAACATGAACCAATTGTAAAGCAGAAATTGTTTAGACAAGCATAAATGCATTTTTTTGTGCTGTGGAACATCCACACAATTATTACCAAAAGTAACACTTATATTAAACTCACGTTTGATAACCTGGTACACTGCTGTATGCAGCAACGTTTTTTTTCCCTTCTTCCCATGAAGGCTGTAGTTCTTCCAGACACTGCTAGAAGCTACAGCCCTCATGATACGCCTTGTAACTTCTCCCGGGTTGGCTCCACCAATCAGACTGAGATGGTGTGTCTACACAGAGGAAATACAGAAAATTAAAAATCCGTAATGCAGTAAATATTTAGCTCTACATAAAACATAGCTTTATGTTTAAACCATTACCCACCAATCTCTTCTTGTAGTCCGGAAGCTCTTTCAGTTTTGCCTCCAAGACAGCAAGTTCTTCCAAAGACTGGGCCACATCGATTTCTATTGGGGTCTCCGGACCCTGGCTGGCCCCTCCAGTCTGGTTTAACCGGAGGAGGATCTCCTGGATGTTTTTTGCCATCACATCCTGGCGGGTCAACATTGCCTTAAGTGTCTCTGTTTCAGAAACACAAAATGTTTCAAAGACATTAAAATGAAGGTCAGAAACGTACAAAGTGCAAAGATAACACATTGCAGTTATTACATGACTGAAATTTACCCACAATAAAAATTAACATACCTTGTATTACTGTAACCGTTTGGGTTAAGGCGGAGATAGAGTCTGACACACTTGAGGAGCAGCTGGCAGTTTCTGTGTGCACATATGCAATACAAAATGCAAGCGATTAAACTCAACACTTAGGTTCAGCATGTTATAAAACGAGAACTACCAAAGTTCAAATCACCAGGCTACATTTTTTGTGTCAATATGTTGATATGTTGATAACTGTAACACTTTACAAATAAACAAGATTTTCAAAGTCATTAAGCCAACAATAAAAATATAATCATACCATCAGACATCTCAGGCTGAATAGGACTAACTGGATCAAGGTCTGTGTAAATAAATAAAAAATATCAACATAAGGTATATTTTAATATAGATCCGCACAACTTGACAAAGCTTATGCAACAATTGTTAACTTACTGTTCATAGTGTTTGTCTGCGGAAAGATGCAGATGGGAGGTGGAGGGTGTGTTGGTCCTGCAGAAGATTTCCATGAAAGTGGCACCTCTGGTGGTCCATGGGACAAACCTAGATGATACATATTACCAAGATACTTTGGTTAATCATTCATTTACGGGACCCTGTCTAATGAATTCCAAAAATGTCATGCTAGCGATTTTCTTATAGAGGGCAGTCTTGTGAAGCATGGTACTCTTGAGAAATATTGAACAGTTATTTAATATCATACCTCTGGATTTCTTATTAGTTTGGAGGACCTGTTCTGCAGAGTCTTCATCTAAAAAGCATATAATAAACTCCAGTCAACAAACCAGTCAGAGATACAGCATGTAATAAATAACTACATGTAAATGTAAATACCCTCATCGCTGCTGTAAGCAAATTTTGCTGGCCTTTTTGATGTCCTTTTTGAGAGCACAGCCCCATCATCTGCACTTTCCACGTTTGACAATGTTTCGGCCTTTCTCAACCACCGAAGTGCCTGGTTAAAGTCAGCTACAAAGAAATGTGACAGCTCCAGAGTCTCAAGATCACTCACAAGCTGAACTGGGTAACGATCTAGGGTCTCAACTAGTTTCTCCTTCAATTGGTAGTGTAGACACTCCATGCCAGACTTCTCCACAGTTTTCACTTCTCTAGGTGTTTTCAGGAGTGTACGGGCAGTGGATGGCAGTTGTGGATGACCATGGCTTTGCAGCAATTTCAGTAAGCTATCCACAGCATTGTGCTTCACCCGGAACTCACTGGTCCAAGCTGCAAGGGCTTCAAACAATGTGCCATCAGAGTGGTTGTCGAGGTCTGAGTCACTGCTCACTGAGTCACTGCAGGGTGACTCCATACCACTTTTGTGCCTGTCACATGACTCATGCACACTGTCTTCAAACAAATTGTCTTCATTCATGCTTTTATCTCTCTTCAAATCGGACACGTCCTCTATTACCATTCCATCTCTTCCACATGCCATGAATGCGTCTCTATTGAGGCTCTCAGTGTTTTGGTGAGTGAGATTCTCTGCCTGGCTTGCACAGGCATTCCCTGTCTGGCTCGCACGTGCATTTTCTGCCTGGCTTGCATGGAGTTTTTGGAGAGTGCGTCTGGTAGCTCTCCAGGACTGTAAATAGATTCTCCGACTTCGCTTCATCCTAAAATACAATCAAATTTTACAATTCAAACCGCGCTGACGTGGAAACCAGGAGAAACATTGTGCCATGAATGAACTAATCAGTGTCCACAGATCAGCAACATTCACCATGGATTTACTGTAGTAACACTACTAACTGTAACCATGGAAGTGTGGCAGGAATAGTAGGCTATAATGCTTTCAAGTAACATTACGTCGGTTTTATTTTGACATTATGAATACAATTGCTGCCCTCAAATGTTAATCTGAACTAAAATAAACCTTTGTTTATAACTACTACAATATTACATTTCATTTTGTCCAAGGAGCTGTTTTTGTTTTATATGCTCCTAAGAAAAGTCAAGTATAGCTCCATCATTGCTCAAAGTAAAAAAAATATCATACTTTATGATGTTAGTTTTAATAAAAATATAATTAAAAAAATTATATCAAGGACATTTCTCTGGCATTTCTTTATTTTTGCTGTATCGAAAACGTACCGAACCGTGACACAAGTGTATCGTATCAAACTACACCCCTAGTAAGGACATGGTAGCCACTTGATGTTTCTGAAAAGGTTTAAGTTAGTGGATTGTCAAGTTCTAAAAACAGAATAGTTTACAGTCCCCCAATAACAATATTTGTATACTGGATTTAATACTATCACTTTTTTAAAAACATGCTTACCTGAAAAACACTGCAGATTTCTGTGATTTCCGATTTCAGTGAAGACAATCACCGAGAGCTGCAATGGAAGAAATTAGATGCGAGTTTAATAGTTTCCCACACCACTATTGTGTGAATACAACATTTCCAGACAAAAACAGGGTTTCTAGGAACTGGGAAGGGAGAAAAACAATATGTAATAATACAAAACAACAATTAAATAAAGCTGAAATAAGTTATTCTATTTACCAGGATAATGAAATTACCACAGTAAGAGACTACAGCAGTAAATTCCACTGATATAAATCAACTTTTTGATGATATTCTAATTATATGACCAGTATCTGTACATATAAAACAACAACAGTAGGCCTACAGTAACGTTAGGCCCACTCAGACATGTTCTATTTGAGCAAATGTGACGCAACACTGTCTACTCAACAATTAAACCTAACTAGTTAAAAAGCCATTTTAAACTACATTTGAAATAGAGATCTTGGTTAAAATGTAAAATTAGGAAACTTTAGAGAACGTGTGGGACCCTTACGGCGGGTTGTTTTTACACTTACCTGTTTTAGGGTTGCCACCTGTCCCGGTTTTACCGGGATTGTCCTTCTTTTTAATAACCTGTCCCGGGAAATTTACGCACTCTCCCGGGACACTGAATGTCCCGGTTTTCGAAAGGCTACGTGAATATGTATGTTCAAACTGTGTAGCGCGCGCAACGGCAGAGAGCGAGAGACCTTGCGTGTGTGTGCTAGTGTGAGTCGAGTCTGCCTCAAGAAGCGCATAAGAAGCGCATGTAATCTGAGTGTGGAGCGCGCTTGCTGCACGAGGCGCGGGCGCGAGCACTTCCGTTTTTCTATCAACAGTGGAAACAACTTAAAATAGGCCTACTACTCTATCATTTCTGGTCATAGAAAATAAACATCATTCGCAACAATACATCATTCGCAACTACTTTTATTTGTGTAAACTCACAATAACAAGAAAACGTTGTGCTTTTGTAAAATAAAATAAAACAATCAGTCGCGCTCTTTTATGGTCTCCGTGAACTGGATCGCGTCTCAAAATAAACAAGCCCATAGGCTAAAGCTTGAAATGTCCACTTTTAAACGAACAAATTCGAATCAAAAGAAAATACAGTCTGATTATGTAATCCATATGAATTTCTTCTCTAAAGGCGCATCTGCTTTACAGCGGAGATGGAGATATGTTGCAGCCGATTTAGAAAATACTAGTTTATTAATAAACAATTAAAATGCCTCGTTACTTTTTCAGAAACATTTATAATAGCCTATAAATCATCTATAGCCTTAGAAATATAGTGTTTGGCCTTAGAAAACCATTTTATCCATATAATTTGTGAATATTTTAAATGCTTATTAAAGGGGCAAAAAAAAAATCATGAACAAAAATCTGAAAATACGCGAATATAGGATATATTTTTGCGCAGCATTTGGTGTATAGGCGGGCCTACAGTTAAAATTTAAATTTTGGTGTTCAACCGTTCATTTTTGGTCTTCAAACACCCCTCTCTCCCCCCCCCCCCCCCCCCCCCCCCCCCCAGTTGGGCGGGTAATATGTCCCGGTTTTTTATCAGACATAGGTGGCAACCCTAACCTGTTTCGTCTTGAAGGAATGGTGTATTTCTTCTTTCTTCGATTGATAAGTTAAACTACTGCTGTAACGTTAGGTAACTAAAAAGATAAGAAAGTGTGTAAAATAAACAACTAGAAGACGGTCAAAGGATACGAAAAGTGAAAATTCAAACACAATCCACGCATGTTCCGGTTCGTGAGGTGGGACTTCTATACACCAGCAGCGGAAGCTCTTCGCTGCAATCGTTTGAGTTGCATATACTGCCCCCTAGTGTACCGAAGGGAAATTGTTGAAATCTGTATGACTTGAATGAGTCTTAAGTGAGACACTTGTTACAGTGTCTCACTTAAGACACTGTAACAAGTGTCAGGGTAATGTTACAGGGTAATGTTACCCTGTCACAGGTGAATAGGGTAACATTTTTAAATTATATATATATATATATATATATATATAAATTAAATTATAGTTTTACTTTTTGAATGGAATTACTGATATAAATAAACTTTTTGATGATATTCTAATTATATGACCAGCACCTGTACATACAAAATATCTGAAAAAAAATTCTTCTATTAAAATGTACATCTGCTTCTAAGTCAAGAAATGACGTGGCTAAGACGTGGTGAGGAGGTTAGAAAATGATTGGTCATCAGCTGGTCTTTAGACAACGTTGTGGGAAGGTAAGGAAGCGACCAAGCGCTGTGGTCACGAGACTACCTTCTGATGAAGTTGCCACAACGTCGTGGCATAGTCTTTTGGTGACGCGACGAACCCACGACCAATACTGACGTCACTTTTGGTCGCCGTTACGTCACGTGTTTGCTGGGTGGCTGCCAGTGGTTATGATGTGGTAAGAAACAACTCGCGCATTAAGCTGGCAGTTAAGCGACTGGTGGCCAGCGGTCGCCTGATTCAGACCAAAGGCACTGGAGCATCTGGATCATTTAGGATCGGCTCGAAAGCTGTTACAAAGCCAAAGAAGGCAAAGGCGAAGAGGGCAAAGAGAAAGATGGTCAAGAAACCTGCCGGGACAAAGAAATCCCCTAAGAAGAGAAGGAGAAATGTCGGAAGTCCTGAAAAGGCCAGCGAGACAGCTGCGGTCAAGAAGACCACAAGACCCAAGAGAGCCAAACGAAGAGCTTCCAAATCAAGCAAAGCAAAAACTGCCTAGAAATAATTGATACCATGATAATGGCTATTGTTCTTACTTTTTAAGGGATGTTGCACCCTTTGTAAAAAAAATAAAACAATTCTTAATTAATGAAACACTTTTAGTCTCTTCTGCATTGAAATTGGCGTTTTGATGATGATGATGATGATGATAATAATAATAACAATAATTACTATTATTTTACACTAATTACATGTATTGCGTTTTAACATTTTACAACAGACCAAAGTTCATTTTAACCTAAATCCCATATTGGGCTTTTAGGCTAATTACTTTTTTGTACAGCTAATAGGTAGGCCCAAATATATTCTATTTATTATTTTTAACATAGGCCTAAGCAAGAAATGTAAAAGGGCAATAATACCAACGGATGATAAATGTTAAAAATTACGTGACTGGGATAGTTTTCTATCGAAAAGTGACGTGTAATTATCACGCACGACACGAGCTTAACACGTTATTCCACTAGATGGTGTTCTCTGAAAAGCAGTCGTCATTCAGTTTAGATTCGCTGCTTTTCAGAGAACACCATCTAGTGGAATAACGTGTATAAAGCTCGTGCATAATTACACACGTCACATATTCATCAAAACAAGAGATGCTCATCCAAGACAGCAATTAATTTATACAAAACATCACCAATATTATTTTTAACTTAAATTGGAAATTAATAAATGACATAGACAGTGGGGTAAAATTATAAATACATAACACATAAAATTATAAATTAGATTTTCTAAAATCTGGAAACATTGTAACAAAAATGTTTGTTTGAGTAAAAATAAACGTTCCTGTAAATGTGGATTAATTTTTCATATTAATATTGTTCATGCTTATAGGCCAAAAACACTCTTTTGATCACAACTTATGAAAGTAAGTCAATGTCATGTCTAACTGCAGAAAAAACGATTTTCTCATATGAAGTAGGCTAAACACATTGCTTGTAACATTAAATGATTACAATCATAACATGAATAATAATAATAACACTAATAATCCCTTTTGTTAACATTGTCACCTCATTATATAAACCAAACAGGAAAACATAATACCATAAATGTACCATAAATATAACATTTTATTTTATATATTTAAAATAAGAATTATTAATTATCAATTGAAATAAGAATTGGATAAAAGTGTCTGCCAAATGGATAAATGTAAATTCCCAATCCATCATGTGAAACCTCTACAAATGATTCAGAACGCTGCAGCTGGTCTCGTCTTCAACGAGCCCGAATGAGCCCACGTCACTCCTCTGTTCATCTCTCTGCACTGGCTACCACTCGCTTCTTGCATCAAGGTCAAGGTATTGACGCTTGCAGATCTATCACAGGCTCAGCTCCCTCATACTTTCACTCGCTACGAGTCTACGTCCCTAGAAGCCTACGATCAGTCAATGAGCCACAGCTCGTGGTACCATCACAGAAAGTCAAAAAATCCCTCTCCAGAACATTCTCATTCACGGTTCCATGCTGATGGAATGATCTGCCCACCCTCATCCGGAATGCAGAATCCCAGACAACATTCAAAAGACAACTGAAAACTCATCTCTTCCGTGAGCACTTAACCTCAAAAAAAAAAAAAAAAAGTCTTTCCTTTTCCCTTAATCCTCCCTTGTCTGCCTGCACTTTGTATTTTGAGCACTTCTTGCGTCGTTTTTGCCTCTTCACTAATTTGTAAGTCGCTTTGGATAAAAGCATCTGCTAAATGACTAAATGTAAATGTAAGTTAAAATTACCCGAGTCATACTTTTGAGTAGCCTACTTTGTTCTTTGCCTGTAAAGTGATTAGACTACATTGACTATCGTGTCTCCCATCTCTGCTTATAATACCGATTACTGGATGTGAAAATAAAAACACGATAACAGTATAAAAATAGCAACAAGCAGTAAAACAGCAGTAAAATTAGTTAAACATTAGTCTGCAAAATGTATTCATGCTGTGGTGCAACCCGGAAGGGAGTTAGGCCTACTATTTTTGAGCCTTGGGAATTTCCTATGGTTATATGGTAGGCTTATATATATATATATATATATATATATATTACAATTTAAGTATATATAGGCTATAGATACATAACATATCTGAAGGTTATCCCGGGCACTCTCACTGGTGATTGTTACAAATACATAGCACAATGTGCATATACACATATAACATATCTTTTCTGAAACCGCTCATCATGTTTGCATTGTGTCTATGAATTTTTTGTTTATGTCAAGTTTTTGCAGCTGCGCCCATTCTCATGCAAACTTCTTGCATAATTTTGAACCGGCAGAGTGTCACTCGCAGTTTTTCCATGTCTTGTATTTTAATTTATCAAAAGTGCAAGTGGGCCAAACAAACTTATCTTAGAAGCACACTCATACTGTTGCAATAGGTAGGGTATTGTAAACTTTTGTTACATAATAAAATCAAACGTTGGCAAAGGAATTGGAAACTAGAGTATAACAAAGCATAATGTTTTCATAACCATCCTAATAAAGTTTGCTTCCAACAAACTTTAACTTTGGTACGCAGTGGCTTGCACTGTCCTCTCCCGTGTTTACATTCATTTACAAGGAGGTCAATCAATCTTTTGAGGAAGTGTAACTATAAGTACACAAAAGCATTTGAGCATGCCAAATTATAAAGATATGATATTATGTTCTAGAGATTATGTTTGTTATAAATAGTAGATAGCTATAATACATTACATACAGTATTTCACTTTCCCACAATTACAAACCATGCAGCCTTGAAGTTTGGATTCTTTTTGAGTCAAGAGATGACATTTGATCCTTTATTGGTTATCTTTTTGCTATACAGACTTGCAGGTCATCAAACATGAACTTTGTCCAAGAGCGGAATATGGAATTTCCTTTTGCACGTGCTTGTATGTATATATAAGTGTGAACAAAAGTGAAAAGTGTAGTGACTGCACCTCAAGCCAAGAAGACCAGGAAGAACTATATAAGTATGTTTTTATTACTTAACCATTTTTTTTAAATGTCTCATAATGCAGTTTTTATGAGCTCATACTGAGACTACAAGGAATATTTGTACTTTTAAAAATTCTGTTAAAATTTTGAAATAAAAGTTGAAAAGTTGATGAAAAGTGGAGGAAAACAAGAAAATGTTTACCATTTGTATTTATATCCATGTTCACTGCCAGACATGCTCTGCATGCTAAAGAAAATGTGTTTTTTTTTTAACTGTAAATAGTACCATGTTAGGCTTCTTCAACTTATAATATCCTATATATTAAGGTTTTTATATTAATGAAAAAAAAGCTGACTGAACTGCTCCACACATCAATGCTGAGACAGAAACAGTAGCCGGACTGTTACATTGAGATACGTTTTCTTCATCTTGAAAACAAATCCTTCCAAGTTTCAAGTATCTACACTGTCCATCTGTGTGTGTGTGTGTGTGTGTGTGTGTGTGTATTGTGGTGTAACTTATTCTTCACAGGTGATGAGGCTGTTGGGTGAGACAGCATCTGCCAAGAAAAACTTGCATTCAAATTGCAAATTGCATTCAATAGTGTGTTTCTTCCATTTCTTTAAGAAAAAGTAATTAATTAAAGAAGCAATTATTTGTTGTACATTTCAATTAAGACAACATTGGGCCTAATCATAAAACGCATGCTAGCTTGAGCAAAAAAAGAAAAAAGGGGGGGGGGGGGGGGGGGAAAGAAAAAGATTAGCTCTAAATAATCACCATCACCAATAACTGAAAGTAAAATGTTATTGTTGTAATGAAAAAATACAACGAAATAACAAAAATAGCAGCAAGCAGTAAAACAATAAATAGTTATATTTTAGTTACATTTATACATTAATCAAAATGCATGCCAGGCCATTGAATTCAAAAGAGAATTAACGTTTGGAAGCCTCTGGAATTTTTTTTCCTATGGGTAAAAATAAATTATAATAAAATAATTGTCAACTACATATGTACAGCACATATGTACAGCATGGTTATCTTTTCAGAGTTTACTCTTGAATGGCACTCGACATTATGTTTGTAGTGTTTCTATAGATTTTTAAATAGGGCCCATTTTCAAGATTTCACCCCACATACCTGCCCTGCATATATTTGCCAACTATTAGAACTTGAACTGAACATGTCACTGGAATGTTTGTGGTTTGAAACTAGTGATGCTAAATATTTAAAGTTGTTTTATCTCTTGGTTCTTTATAAGTTTAACCCAGTTATTTTAAGTGGTTCTTTTAAAGTGTAGTCAGGCTTTGAACATTCACAAGTCGCAAATTTATTTTTGTTCAACACAGACTTTTGTTCATCTAACTGTGTGATTTGTATATGTACATTTCTGAAATACATAACTTGGACACAGTCACCTCTGATAACAGATGCCGTCTAAATTGTAATGCATGCATTTTAAAGCTGCTTTGAAACAATATGTATATTGTGAAAAGCACTATACAAATAAATATGATTTGAATATTTTGACATAATAAAATATAAAATTGTGCCGCGATATGGTACAGAAAGTATGACAAGAAACCTGTTCGGGGCTTTCAAGATCTACATCCACAGCAGTTTTAGAATGTTTCTCATATTGAAGAGGATTTGAAAATACCTGATAATGCCGTACTCTTCTAAAACAAGAAGCAGCAAAGAATCTCACTTCCTCTTGTTAAAAAAAAAAAATATATGAATAGTTAAAAAAAACCACACACCCTCCAACATTGTCAAAAAATATTGGACATTATGAAGACCCAGAAAAATGTGAGGAACTGAATACATTTACCAAGGAATAGGCCCATAAATTCAGCCCATAAAACCTTCCTTCAACTGAACGTTTAAACATAGGTTGAAGGCTCTTTTGTCTGTTTGTGTCTCCAAGGTAGCCGATCCATGAAGAGGAAGTTCATGGTCTCATGACTTTATTTTCTGACAGATGTGAAACTGAGAAGTGACTTTATTAAGGAACTTACCAAATTCTATAATCTGCCACATACATTTTTATTGAAGTAGTCGTGTGAAACATGCATCTGGTGATCATGGAATCAAGAGCATTGTGTCTGCTGATTCTCTGCTGTTTTATCAACATCTGCAACCTTCATCCGCTCATTCGTCCCAGTAA